TTCAGTCCAGCACATCACTCTCAATCTCTACCACACACCGCACAGCTGACATGAAGAAAACCATCAGAGGAATGTGAGAAAGAGAGAGATTTTGAGTGAAATTGTGTAAATGAAAGGTCCGAGCTGACATGGCAGCCCTTTATTAAAATGTTTTGTAAGTACAATTTTTAAATCCATAAAATCCCACAAAACTAAAGATGTTGCAGTAACATTTGTATTATCAGTTACTAAACTGTTTTACACCTTTCATCGACTTTTACACCATTTAAAAGATTTAGGGCTCTATCATACACCCGGCGCAATGGGGCGCAAGGCACAGCGCAATAGTCTTTTACTACTTTAAGCTTGGTGCAAGGGTCATTTTGAGGCATTGCGCCACGCTGTTTAAATAGCAAATGCATTTGCGCTCAAATGTACGCCCATAGGCGTTCTGGTCTAAAAAAGCAGGCGTGTTTTGGCGCGTTGCTATTTTGAGAAACTGTAAATAGTCTGATCTTTAGACCAGAACAAAGTCGGTCTATTGTCTGGCGCAACGTACGCCTGGCTTACACACTACACACAAGATGCATTACGCAAATCTCTTTACATATGAAAAAGATATAATATATTAAGGATACATATATATAGGATATAAATATAAATTATTAAAATATTACAAAACATTAATTTCTAGCCTACATGAATTTAAAAACCACTGCCTTGATACTTTCTTCATTTCGGGAGGCTTTTTCAGGTCATTCAAGTTACTTTTGTATAATGTTATTATTGTTAGCAGTATTATTTATTATATCCATATTTATATTTGTTTCCCTATCCAAGAGCGAATGTGAAAGTAGTTCCATTATCTCTCATTCTCATGCAGTAGATGCTCTGTTTAACAGTTTTCTGTTAAAAAACTGTCAACTGTTAAATGTTTGCTTGTGAAGTGCTTATTTTTTCCACTTAAACTTACTTTACGTCCTGTAAATAGCAAATGCACTCTTGGCGCGACTCAGCTGACTCTTAAAGGGAATGGGAGATGAGACTCTAATTGGTTTATTCTCAAAACACACCTATAACTCATTAAGAAAATAAACTCAACCCTTTTAGACCATGCGCCATAGCGCAAGGCAGATTTCCCGACCTTAAATTAGCAAAAACGCGTCCTGACACGCCCTGAAAGTGTTTGCGCCCTGCGTTTTTGCGCTTTGAGCATGGACCGTCAAAATAGAGCCCTTAAAGTCAAAATTTGATATTCAAAAATATATCTTTATGTTATATATTTTAATTAATTATTATAATGCAACAAAACTGTAATATTGTGAAATTATGACAAATTAAAATAATGGTTTAAATTATTATTAATTATTAATAATTATTATTATATTAATATAATTTGATATGATATGATAAAAACTTGTGAACTGCATGTGTTTTCCAGTACTGGGTTGCAGCTGGAAGACTGTAAACATATGCTGGATAAGTTGGCGATTCATTCTGCTGTGGAGACCCCTGATGAATGAAGGGACTAAGCCAAAGTAATATAAATGAATGAATTGCATGCTTTTATCCAAATTTTTACAAATGATCAGTCTCTGTTTAACTCATACTTCATCCTTTGTCACTTTTCATGTTGTTTTTACCTAGAACTAAAACAGGCTATGGAAAAATATACAGATATCTCATTTTCTTATTCAAATGTAATTTTCATGATGCCAGTGCTGCCAGTCATAACCTCAGAAATCACATCTAGGCATTAGCCGGTGTCTGACGGGATGAAAACATCAAGGTTTCACTGTTTTTTGATTACTGCTCTAAAATTATTTATTTTTAAATTTCTGGGTAAAAAAATTATTAAAAAACAAATAAAAAAAAAACCTTTAAACACAATATATTTTAATATATTTGATCTATTAATCTATTTTCGTTAACTTCAAAAACACAAATTTCTTCACAAAACATAACAAAACACATTAAAAAAAATATTTTTACCTTAGGAACTGTATAACATTTTAGCAGTTTTCAAACCTTGACTTTTCCAAACCATGGTATACCTTGAAACCGGTCAACCCTGTGTTCACGTGGGCTTCCTGCGGGTGCTCCGGTTTCCCCCACAAGTCCAAAGACATGTGGTTTAGGTGAATTGGGTAAGCTAAATTGTCCGTAGTGTATGTGTGTATAGATATTTCCCAGTTATGGTTTGCAGCTAAAAGGGCATGCACTGCGTGAAACATGTGCTGGATAAGTTGCTGGTTCATTCTGCTTTGGAGACCCGTGATTAATAAAAGGACTAAGCCAAAAAGAAAATGAATTAATTAATGAATTAATTAATGATTTAGAGGCCATCATCTGATTGGTTGAATTCTGCAGGATTTCTGGGTGAGCTCTGTATATTGTCTTTGATGACTGGCCTTGTGTTGTCAAGAATAGAGATGTGCTTATAGCACATATAGTAATAAGCACTTGTCTGAATGAATTAAGCAATGTTGTTTTCAAAATTGTGTGTTTAGTTTACGTTTATTTACTATCCTTAACATGATGCTGAAAAGTGAACAGTGATTAGTTGGTTTAACATGCTAGTCATTGAAAGCTACAAAAGAGTACAGACTCTTGGGGTCTGGCTATGGGAGAGTTTGCAGTCAGCGACCTGGATCTTAAAGTCTGTGGGCCAGGTATGATTAAAGTGGTCATGAATTGCCTATTTTTATTTTGTTCGGCTTTCTGAGTTCAAGTCATGTCTAATTTTTAAGATTTTTAATTAAAAGCATCATTACTTAGGCAGAAGATTAGGCTAAAAGTAGGTTTTATTTGTACTGTTTTGACCCCCTCATAAAATACACAGTTTGAGTGGGTGTGAGAATTTGTAGACTACTGGTATGATTGGCTGTTATTTTTGCGTATTTGGAAAGAAAGACAGCTGTGGAAAGACATCTATTTTCAACAGCCTACATCCATAGATGGATGCAGTTGTGACTTAGGCTAAAACTACATAAATATCAACTATATATCAAATGTTTTAATAACAAGCAAAGCAATAGTGACTGTAAGAAAAATAGTTACTCACACCAGTGTACACTACCTGAAAAAAGTCTTGTCGTCTATCCAAATTTTAGAAACAGCAAATAATAACTTGTCTTTTAGTTGATCTTTTGGTATCAGAAGTGGCTCATACGAAAGGCGAAGGCCTCTAGATTACACTAAGACAAAAGATTGCTTAGAAAAAAGTCTTGTCACGTAACAGAAAGCGTTATTGCTGGACTATTGCGGAGTTCATAAACATTATTTGTATTCATACTCAACGCCTTCTCCATCTTACCCCAGACATGCTCAATAATGTTCATGTTTGGTGACTGAGCTGACCAATCCTGGAGCACCTTGACCTTCTTTGCTTTCAGGAACTTTGATGTGGATGCTGAGGTATGAGGAGCGCTATCCTGCAGAAGAATTTCCCTCTCCTGTGGTTTGTCATGTAATGGGCAGCACAAATGTCTTGATTCCTCAGGCTGCTGATGTTGCCATCCACTCTGAAGATCTCTTGCACACCCCCATACTGAATTTAAGCTCAAACCAGGATTTTTCCTTCACCAAACTTGACTAATTTCTTTGAGAATCTTGGGTCCATGCAGGCTCCAATAAGTCTTTTTAAGTAATTTTGATGATTGGGATGCAGTTCAACAGATCATTCATCGGAAAAATCGACCTTCTGCCACTTTTCCAAATGATCAACTAGAAACAACTGGAAACGACGACAAGACTTTTGTCAGGTAGTGTAGTGCAATATTATTTTAAATTATAGTCAACAATTTAGTTATTAGTAGGTATTATTTATTTATTAGTACGTTTATTAGTTTCCCTAATTCTAAAGATTAAGCTGTTAATCATGTGGTCTGGAACTTAAAAATAAAGTTCATCCACTCCTTCTTAATGTTAGGATCCAAGGGAATGCTGTGCAAAGACTGTGTTTTCTCAGAACTAGTGACTTTACAGTATCTTGGAGTCATATTTGTCATTTGGATTCTGTATAGCCCTGCATTTGCCCCTATGTGTTAGACCAGGGGTGCCCAAACTCTGTCCTGGAGGGCTGTTGTCCTGCAGATTTGGGCTAAACCGAGTTTGGGCACCCCTGGTCTAACACTCTTATTTTTAAGCTAAACTACCAAAATGACAAGTTTGGTAATGTGCCTCTTTATTACATAATACTGTGGCTAAACCCCCACCCCCCACAAAAAAGTAAATGACGAGAGGCAAATGCAGAGCTATACAGAATCCAAATGACAAATATGACTCCAAGATACTGTAAAGTCACTAGTTCTGAGAAAGAAAATATATTAATGTTAAAAAAGAAACATAAAAGTTTGATCCTATCAATGTCACAACGGATGCCTTTAAATAGTTATTAGTTGTCAGCCAGCATCAGTGTTTACTGAGATTGAAGTTAATTAAATTTAAATAAATTGAGATAAGAAATATTGTTATAGCAACACATCTTACTGCTTTGGTAAATTACGCTCGTAACCAGACGTCACGGGATGACTGATCGTAAAGTAACGTGTAATCTGGCACATTTGTTACCCACGACAAGTCAAGATTTCATCAAGAAAAAAATCGCATAATCTGACATAGTGGCTTTCGTAAACGACAATAAAAATCATGTGATCTGACCGGGGCTTTAGACTAACAATAATGATTTGTGGGCTGAAACACACGGGATGTATTCATAATATGATGACCTCTTATCAGAATTAGAATCAGGTTTAGATTAGGACTCATACAAAGTGATTAACATCGTTCCTCACATGCTTGTAAGCTACCCATATAGACCTTGCACCTCATTCATAAAACAATAGCAGAGTGTAAATCATTTGTAAAACTATTTATAGACAAATTATTTCATTATATATTAAACATATACATGTTTAATGATTGATTGATCATGCTTTGTTGGAAAAAAATAACCCCGACTTTCTTTTCCTCTCTCTGTCAATCTCTCGTCTTCAAGAGGAGGGCCATTGTGTTTGCCATATCTGGTCATGGCTCCTCCTCTCCTCCTCCACCTCCTGCTTCTCCTGGTCTCTCCACAGGTGTGTGCGGGTGGCAGTGCTCACAGGGACAGCAACAGTAGTGCTGATGGACCCAAGAAACCCTGCTTTGAGAAAGTCAAGTGTCAGCCAGGGATTCTGCTTCCTGTGTGGCTGCCGCATGACCCCCCACTGGCAATGCAGGCCGTACGAGCCGTGATCTACTTTGCATGTCTTCTCTACATGTTTCTGGGCGTCTCCATCATCGCTGACCGCTTCATGGCTGCCATCGAGGTCATCACGTCACAGGTGTTACAGCAACACCAAGCAAACAGAAAAACTGTACATTAAACACATAGCATTTATAATGTACAGTGCTCAGCATATATAAGTACACCCCTCACTAATCTCTCTTTTAAATTCATATTTTAATAGGAAGCTAGACAATATTATCTTTGTGCATATACATTAGATTAGTCAGTACTGAAGCCAAATCTGCAGCTTATCTAACAAAATAACTTACAACAACTGACTAAAAACTAGTACACTCAAATGTATATGTTATAGAAAAATATTTATTTTCAAAATGGGGTGTACTTAATTATGCTGAGCACTGTATTACTGATCATTCAGGGTTGAGGTTTGAAACTTTTTATAAAAGAGTAATGAAATAATATTTGTGCAAGGGAATATTTTAGTAATTTGGTTGTGATTTTTTTTTTAATTTATTTTTTTTATTATTAATTAATGTATTTTTTTATTATTATTATTATTTTTTTAATTATTATTATTTTTTTAATGATAAGTTCTATGTGTATACGGTATTAATTTATTAGTAGTCTCTCATCTCATCTCATCTCATTTTCGTCTGCTTTTCCGGGGATGGGTCGTGAGGGTCTGATGAGTCTTAGGAGAGAACCCCAGACTTCCCTCTCCCCAGACACCTCCTCCAGCTCCTCTGGGGAAATTTATCTATAGCAATCCTGTTACAAGTACACACACACATTGGTATTGGTGGTTTACAAGGACTTTCTAGAGGCATAATCGATTTATACAGCAAAACCGATTATTATTATGTCTTACTCTACCCCTATACCCAACCCTTAAAAGAAAAATGTGGCAAGTTTTGAATGTGGAAAGCAGGGGTCACCAATCCTGGTCCTGGAGGGCCGGTGTCCCTGCAGGGTTTAGCTCCATCTTGCCTCAACACACCTGCCTGGATGTCTCAAGTATACCTAGTAAGACCTTGATTAGCTTGTTCAGGTGTGTTTGATTAGGGTTGAAGTTAAAATCTGCAGGACACCGGCCATACAGGAACAAGTTTGGTGACCACTGGTGTAAAGACTCTTAAATATGATTTGTTTTGTAAGTGTTTTGAATTACAAGGTGACCACGCATGTTCTCATAAACCAGCTGAAGAGTACAACTTAGTCTCACCCTTGTCATTATACAAATATCTGAAACCTGCTCTGAATCTGCACTTAAATGAAAAATGGCTAATAGGATGGGATAGTATAATCAACCAATTGTATGAAGTAAATCTATTTGTAAATGAAAGAAATAATTATGATTTTGAAAAAAGACCTTTTTTAAGGATGTAAACAAAAACAAAAAAGATTGGAATTCTTAAACATTCTTAAAACATTGAAATGTCCTATAGACATGATCAGGTATTATATACAAGATGTAAAATTGACCAATCAAGATTTACACATTCATTTTTATTGGAAGAGTAAGTAAAACCTATTTGTGTCTTGTGTAAGAATATTTAGATGATAAAACATATTTTTATAGAATGTATATCTATAAATGACATCAGAAAACATTTTTATTCAGGAACTAATTTAGCTAAAATGTTCAAAAAGATGTCCTCTGGAGGAATTTTAACAACAAACCAAAACTACTTAAATGACTTTTTATCAATGTTGTTGTTATTTGTATATTTTCTGTACAATAAATGATTAAGAAACAGTTATAATTGGAAAAAATATATTGATTATTTAGTACAAGTGATGCCGAGAATATAGCCAATGCTGCTGATATGGCATAGATAGATAGATAGATAGATAGATAGATAGATAGATAGATAGATAGATAGATAGATAGATAGATGGATGGATGGATGGATGGATGGATGGATGGATGGATGGATGGATGGATGGATGGATGGATGGATGGATGGATGGATGGATAAATAGATGAGTTGATGGATAAAGAAAGATAGATAGATAGATAGATAGATAGATAGATAGATAGATAGATAGATAGATAGATAGATAGATAGATAGATAGATAGATAGATAGATAGATAGATAGATGGATGGATGGATGGATGGATAGATAGATAGATGGAGAGATGGACGAACGGACGGACGAACAGACGGATGGACGGACGGACGGATAGATAGATAGATAGATAGATAGATAGATAGATAGATGGATGGATGGATGGATGGATGGATGGATGGATGGATGGATGGATGGATGGATGGATGGATGGATGGATGGATGGATGGATAAATAGATGAGTTGATGGATAAAGAAAGTTAGATAGATAGATAGATAGATAGATAGATAGATAGATAGATAGATAGATAGATAGATAGATAGATAGATAGATAGATAGATAGATAGATAGATAGATAGATGGATGGATGGATGGATGGATAGATAGATAGATGGAGAGATGGACGAACGGACGGACGAACAGACGGATGGACGGACGGACGGATAGATAGATAGATAGATAGATAGATAGATAGATAGATAGATAGATAGACGTAGCTGCTTATTTAATAACTTCTAGCATAAAATGGGATTTATACATATATATATGGCATATAGTGTACCCATACGGTGTTATTCTGTGTCCTATAGGAGAAAGAAGTGACTGTGACCGGTGCAAATGGAGAGAAGACCGTAATGACTGTAAGAATCTGGAATGAAACGGTCTCCAACCTCACTCTAATGGCTTTAGGTTCATCAGCGCCTGAGATCCTTCTGTCTGTAATAGAGGTACGCAAACAACTTCACAACAAACCAACAGTTCGTCTTGATCAGTAGTTTATCACAAGAGAAGTGAAGGCCTAGTTTTTTTCTACAGGTTAATTATTAAATGACTGACACCCACACTGACCTCATCACTTTACAATGATGACTTCAGCAGCTATTCATCCATGTAAAGGCATCATTTAACTCGATGTGTGTTGATACAGTGGCGCCCAGTTAAATATTTCAGCTGTCAAACTGCTCATTTCACTTCTCTATAAATGATTAAGAAATTATTCTTTCGGAATGGCAGATTTTTATGAGAATTTTGGATTTTGTGATATTTATGTGAATTTTATCATGCAAACTGAAACCTGAAGAAACAAAGCGTCCCTTAGGATGGAGCAATTATATAAGTGTACATCATACAACTGTTAGTGGTAGAAACAAATAGTCTAAAAAGTCCCTAAATAAATTAAAAGTCTTGAAATGTAGACATTATTTAAATGTTGTAATTTAAAATCCATCTTTTATGGAGATTTAACAAAGTCTCAAAACAGTTTTCTCACAGTTTATATTACAACATCTGTTCTTTTCTCACAGTATATGAAACTTTGTACAAGGATCTGGTTTCTCTAAACACTCTAAATCTGAGGGCCTGCTCGAATATTATACAGCAAATACAGTTTTGAAAATTAAATGGTCAGGAAATTTTGCAGGAACTATTTGCAGATTAAGCATTTAAGGACATCCAGAATCCAAGAAAAAAAAAACATTGATCATGCACTTTGATCATATATACTTTGCAGAATTTTTACATTTTTAAATAGCCTCATTAAACAAAAATAATTTCTTTTTATGATGCATTACATTATATTTAAAGTGATGTTTTTATTAATTGCATTTTAAACAGTGTTATTTTCATCTGCTCTGTATGTTTGTGGCAGGTATGTGGACATGGCTTTGAGTCTGGAGAACTGGGTCCTGGCACTATAGTGGGCAGTGCTGCGTTTAACATGTTTGTGATCATTGGAGTGTGTGTGTGGGTGATTCCTGACGGAGAGGTGAGGAAGATTAAACACCTCAGAGTCTTCTTCATCACTGCATCCTGGAGCATCTTCGCCTATATTTGGCTCTACCTCATCCTGGCAGTCATAAGCCCTGGCGTTGTACAGGTTTGCATTTTTAAATTAGTTTTTTTTTCTATAATAATTATATATTTGCTGTACATTTCAGTTTAGGTTTAGTTTGTTTTCTTTATGGTTTTGTTTGTTTTAGTTTAGTTTTTTGTGAACACTATATGAACACATTTATATTTAGTTTTGGTAAATTTAGTTTTAGTAATTCTAGTTTAAAAGAGTTAACCGGACATGTAGTGTCGACCAAAGCAGATATTAGTGTTTGCACAGCTTATGTTAACTCTTGTGAATTGGATAGGCTAAATTGTCCGTAGTGTTTGAGTGTGTGTATGTAAATTAATGTGGGTGAATGTTTCCCAGAGATGGGTTGCAGCTGGAAGCACATCCACTGCATAAAAACATGCTGGATAAGTTGGCGGTTCATTCAGCTGTGGCGACTTCAGATTAATAAATGGACTAAGCCGAAAAGAAAATGAATTAATGAACAAAGCATAAAATACTCCCATATGTTTGCAGATATTTAAGAAACATGTCAAGAGAACATACTTGTATGTTTTTCATCTGAAAAACAATGCTGAAATCAGATATTCCAATGCAAGCTCACGGAAATTCGTAACATTATGATTTAGGGGCTAATTCGTATGAAATTGTACGATTTAATTTGTACAACTTAGTACGATTTGCTCATCACTCAATGATGGTTAGGATTAGGGGTGGGAACTTGTACGAATTTGTTCGAATTAGCCACTAAACTGACAAAACGTAAAATACTTACGTTTCCTCGTGAGATCAGACTGGATATTCTGCTTTGAAAATATGTTTTCCTTGCCGGAACGGCTGTTTTTGTTTTGTGCTTTTAACCCACCCAATGCCAGTTTAGCCAATTATATTTCAGCACTCAGAGTTGCCTTGGTGAAATCGCTCTCAAAGCATGTGCCGTGACTGAAATGTGACCTCCGGTGGACAGTAGCAAATTCCGAAATGTAGAAATAGATTCAGAGTTCCACATGAGGTGGTTATTAATTAAATAATACATCAAAATATTAGGTGATAAGGTTACATTCTAACACATTGTCCTAACAACATGATACGTGACTAGATTTGCAGTGATACGCAACTGGGTTGTTTGTACCAGACGAAACACCACAAATTTATATATAGCCTTTCAGAAGCACAGAATATGCATGGGTGGGCAAACTCGGTCCTGGAGGGCCGGTGTCCGGCACAATTTTGCTCCAACTCTAATCACACACACCTGCTTATAGATTTCTAGTGATCTTAAAGACACTGATTAGCATGTTCCGGTGTGTTTGATTAGTGTTGCAGCTAAACTGTGCAGGACACCGGCCCTCCAGGACCGAGATTGCCCACCCCTGCTTTAGGCTCTAGTCAGACTCGCTCCTCAATCTGGCAACCTGCGCTTGCATTTGTTTTGATCCAGGAATGTAATACCTAGTTCAACCACTGGATGTCAAACTTACATACTGCACCTTTAAAGGTTCAGGACACCCTGGAGAACTTTTTTTTTATATTAACAGATGTGTGTGTGTTGAGCATCAGTTAAGACAATGTTGGCACCTGTCAGCTTTAATTGTGGGGAAAACTGGATAATTTTGAGCTTTTGTCATCTAATTTCAGCTTCCGGGTTTAAATTAATTTTTGGGGCGGGATCAAAATCGGCGACATAGCTCAGTATTGCAAGTGCAATGATGACGCGTCGGTTTCTCATTATTATTCATAGCGGAGTTTTCTTATCCTATGAGAGGAGCCGGCTGCTTAATTATTCATGAGACCTGCCAGACCTGCCAGTGTCAAGACCGAGCTGTGAGACACAGACCCACGGCACACAGTATTTAGCCGTTCATGAAGGCTCAAATGCGTTTGTTTCCATGAACCACGGGGTTTGTTGCATGTTTTCCCCCACGACCTTGTCAGGGCCGATCATACAGCAAAGCTGCGTGTGTGTTGCTAGCATTTTTGTCGGGAGAGCAGCACGAGAATTAGAGAATGGCGGACGCTGTCTTTTATCCAGAGTTCGTTCACATTCAGACACATCACTGTGCTGCTGTGTTTGCCTAAATCCTCCAGATTACCAGCAGGGCTAATGGTTAAAATAGACAGGTCAGGAGACCTGCTGCACTGAGTCTGCTGGATACGGGGATTGAGGGAGAAGTCCTCATTTATAGTGTTTACATGAACACACTTATCTTTATAATGATATAAATTATGGTTATGTGTATATGAAATTACGAATAACAAATGTAGCAGGGCATCAAATCACTGTTCATTTATTTGCATTTGAACTTTGTAAACTATAAACTCATGCGTCTCCTCAGGGTTGTCTCATTTTGTGAGCTAACTGACATCAACAGTTGTTCGCTCACGTTCTCCCCTGCTGGCCACGCCCACTCCTGCCCGATGCTCGCTGAGCTCCACGCCCATTAATCATGCATCTTTTGAAAAAATTCTGAAGTAGACTTTAACCAAAAGTGGGGGGTGTCATGGCCCTTTAAATCCATAAAAACTTTTTGGAGAAATTTTGTTCGTCTGTAAAAGCGCCATCAGGTGTTTCTCTAAAGAGCTGCAGGTCAGATTTTCCATCACAGTAAGTGCTTGGTAATTCTGAAAGTGATTTATAATTATTTTTGCAAATGTTTATTTTGTTTTTGTTCATTTCTCTGTGACTGTAATTAGTTTCAGTTTTAGTTTTTCATTTACTGTAAATTTTTCATTTTATTTCCCTTAAAAATATTCGTTGAACAACATTTTTAGTCATAATTTTAGTTTTACTTTATAAAGTTACTTGTATACAGATTATATCAGTGTGGTATACAGTGCTCAGCATATATAAGTACACCCCTTACAAATCTATCTTTTAAATTCATATTTTTATTAGGAAGCCTAACAATATTGTATTTATGCATATACATTAAATTAGTCAGTACTGAAGCCAAATCTGCAGCTTATCCAACAAAATAACTTACGATGACAGTTCAAAAACTAGTACACCCAGATTTACATGTTATAGAAAAATAATAATTACAAATTTAAAAAAGAGGAAAAATCAAGAGAAGCAAAAAAAAAATGAACATTTAGAAGAAATTTTGTATGTTGTATTTTTTTAATATTTAGCTTGAATTTAATTGCATAATCTTTCAATTTCTAAAGATGTTCGATGACTAAAATGTTATTTTAATGAATAAATCTGTTTATTAAATCTGTTTAGTTTAAATGCACCAAAATACATTGCCTATATTCACTGAGAAATTGATTCAAATATTCATTTTTAAAATGTTTAATTATGCTGAGCACTGTATATGTAGATATTTTATGGAATCAAATTTTATGACTAATGTTTTGTTTTATATTTTTGTGTGTGTGTATGTGAGGTCTGGGAGGCTCTGGTCACTCTATTCTTCTTCCCTGTCTGTGTCCTAATGGCATGGATTGCTGACCGGCGCCTGCTCTTTTACAAGTACTTGAACAAGCGCTACCGTACAGATAAACGTCATGGTATCATTGTGGAGATGGAAGGGGAACTGGCACCCAGAGGCATTGATGCGATTATGGGAGAAAAATATCAAAACAACACCACAAGCGTTGATATGGAGAAAAATAAAGAACCTGAACAGGACAGAGAGGAGGTAAGAAAGCAGAATAAAACAGACATAAAGAACCTTTTTAACAGGGTAATTTAAACAAAAATGAAAACTTGCTGTTCATTTACTCAATCTTAGTTGAGTTAATGTTCTGGTAGCATTTAAATAAAATTAACGATCTACTGGAGAAAGAGATTAGATGGCCTGAGCATGAATTAATGGCATTTAAAAAAATTTTTTTAAGGTGAACTAAACTGTTAATAAGACATTTTGTCTATGAATAGCATTGTGGTAAATGTTCTTGTCAGAGTTAAACTATAAATAATCATGTTAAAATGATTTCTGAAGGATTATGTGACAATAAATACTGGAGTGATGGTCTTCTCTCTCAGAAATGAAGGTACGTGAGCTGTTGTTGGGGTGGTACCTTTTCAAAAGGTGCAAATTTGTACTTAAAGGGATCATATTGGTAACTCAACAGTATATATAATATTACCTAAAATTTTAAGAACACTTTTGTACTTTTTATGTACTATTTCTTAGAGTGTTCTCATCACAGAAATGGATAAGATTTGTCAGGTTTTTATCCTAACAGCTCTTTTGTGTATACTAGTTTCTTACACATCTCATTCAAAGCTCTTTGTTTTGTTTTTCCCTCAGTTTTGACAGTTGTAAGCTATGAGATAATCAATCTTCGTAGTGATCTGGAACTGTAATGCAATTACGAACTGCTGGAAATTCTTTAGATCTGCATTTATATGAAAATAATTGTAAATCTTTGAATGTTCATCTGCCAATCAAAATCAAGCATTCAACAGTTCTGTAGTGCTATTAAATTATTTATTTATTTAACTTCACCATGTTAGTGATTTTTACTGTATTTTGATTTTGATTTTAATTAATGCAGCTTTGCTGAATATGAAAAAAAAAATATTTAAAAAACAAATATAAGTGACCCCTAGAATTTTTAATTGTACTGTAATTATCAGATCATTAAACTCAATCAATACCTCATGTCTATTTATTTATTTATTTATTCCCTAATTTCCTACAATGTAAGTGAGATCGTATGGTTTGTCAATCTTTATTTAAAAAATTAAATGACAGTGAGACAAGACTTGATCTTCTTACGAGAGTTAATTTTATGATTATTATAATATGATATCGATAAAAAAGTTGATCAAAACATTGAAATGATACCCCACCTGTGGTTGTAGGTCATCCGCATACTTAAAGACCTGAGAGAGAAGCATCCTGACAAAGACCTGGATCAGCTGATTGAGATGGCAAACTATGCCAGCATGCAGAAACAGCGCAAGAGCCGGGCCTTTTACCGAGTGCAGGCTACACGCATGATGATCGGCGCTGGGAACATCCTGAAGAAACATGCTGCAGCTGAACAAGCGAAGAGATTGGCTGGAGAGTCGACTGGGAATGACCTGGCCACCTGTTCTCAGATCAGCTTTGAGCAGGCGCAGTACCAGTGCACCGAGAACTGTGGTAGCGTGAGTCTGTGGGTTTGTTTACGGGGAGGAACCGGCACCAGAACCTTCCACATCGATTACAAGACTGAGAACGGCTCCGCCAACTCTGGGGACGATTTTGAAAATTGTGAAGGAACGATTATATTTCAGCCTGGAGAAACACGCAAAGAAATAAAGGTGAGGGATTAACATAGTGGTGATGAACATTAGAGTATGTATACAGGGGTGATTCTACACTGTAAAGCGAGATAAGTTGACTTTACTTCAAAAAAGTGGGTTAACCCATTGATCTTCAAATGATTAAGTTAATTAACTATGTGCATAATTATAAAACAAAGTCAAATGAACAGTTCCCAGTTACAATGGTTTTACTCACTTTTTTAAGTAATGTCAGCTTGTCGCTTTTAAAGGAGTGGTCCAGAGTGTATTTTTAAAGCTTGGATGTGTTTATAAGATGCAAAGCAATGTGTGCTCATGCTTCACTTGTAAAAAATCATGTTACTTTTCATATATCTTACTTTGATTATATACTGCTACATGAAAACAACTGTCATAATTCCTATTTCCTCTGAAAGGCCCACCCTCAAGAGGTTCTGATTGGTCAGCTAACATAATGTTCTGTGATTCGCGGACAGGCTCCACATCACTTGGAAAAGACATCACTCTAAAATTAAATCTGACAAGTGTCTTTATATATATTCAGAATAAGCATGTGTAAGTAATATAAAACGTTCACATATTTTTTGCAAGTTTGTTATTTGAGATATACCGTATATAGCGCTGCTAAAGATTGTGGCTGTTTACATTAGTTTAAGGGAAAAATATGAATTTGTAGCTAAATTGTTAAAGGTGCCAAACAGCATTTTCATTGTTTACATCCTTGTTTATGTCCTTGCTACAACCGTTAATGCCAGACACTGTGCATATAATAGATCAATTTTAATAAAAAAAAAATACTTACAGGTTGTGGCTCACAATCCACAGCTTTTGCTATTATGGTTGGAGTTGCTCCTTCTTCGAGGAGTTTTTAGCCGAATCCAGCACTGAATGGAGAGAGATTCTGGAAGCTGTCCTTTGTCAAATGTTAGCTATATATATATATTATAATTCTCTGGAGCAAAATTAAAATGTAACTGTAAGTACGTCTATCTTTCTGTCATGTCCTTTGGAAGCCCAAATACAGAAACAGAACAAGTTCTGTGGAAATAGCAGCGTTTGGACAGCATTTTAACTTTCTCTGGTAAAACATTACAGCGCCTCTGGCCACACCCCTTAGTTGCACGGGGTGTGTGCCTTCATAATCTGAAGTGTTTGTGATCTCACCAAATAATGTAATTTTTTGCTGTACCCAAATTTTGTTCGCTGTAGGCTTTGCTAAGCTAACTCTGTAAAAGCCATTGTCTCTCTTTACATTGAACTTTGAGCAAATTACTTTGAGAGATGTTGATTATCTTTACACATCTACATTACATGAACCAATGTTTAAAATTTGATATCATAGTGGACCCTTTAGGGCAACAGGTAAATTTACTTAAAGTAACTTAGTAAAGTAACTTTAGTACAGTTACTATTCACTCCAATATGCAAATCGAAGATTTAGGGGAAAATAATTTTTCATTAACAGAATTTAGCCGTTCATTTTATTAAAAACATTGCTAATATTAATAAATTAGTGTGTGCCAAACACAAGACACTTCTTTTTTTACTTTTAATTAAACAAATGAAAATATATATTATAGTATTGTAAAGTCAATGGCTTAACATAAAGTCAATATTGTTACTCTACCTCAGTAACAGAGTTTGACTTACAGTTTAACAGAGCATATGCCACTGATAAAACCATGTTTAAAAGACTATCACACAACCCACTGTGTGATCAGTGATAAATTCTGTGTTTCTTTTCATATTATTGTAGCTGTTTTGCCATTTTCAAAAAATGTTGTTGGAGTGAGAACTATTTAGATGAAAATATTGTCCCAGAGAGAGCATATATTTACCTTCCAGAGATTCAGATGTTATCAGTGTAAGACATAGACATCATTTAATGCATCTTAGATAGCTGTGTCAGGTCATTTCACCAGTTTAAAGGCAAAGTATGGTACGGTCACAGAAGGTATTTAGTATTAATGCATGGATATTGTTATAATATAATTACCTTTTTTATACTTAGTTTTTATTGATTTTGTTAGGAACATATAACCAGTGGGAACAAAACGAACAGACAAACAAACAAAAAATAATAAAACATACATACATACATATATACATACATACATACATACATACATACATACATACATACATACATACATACATACATACATACATACATACATACATACTCTACCAGTCTTTTTCAGTCATACATACTCTTCCGTTTTTATTTAACTATTACAATATAACCATTTTAATTAATAATTTAAATAAAATTATTCTGTTCATCAAGGTGGCATTTAATAAATGTAAAACAAATGTTTAATTGTTACATAATTATTTATTAAATATTTATTTATTACTTAATGTATATATTTTCAAGTGAAATTATTACTCCAGTTATTATTGCTTTTATTACTATTTCCATTAATAATTATAATAACAATTATAATAATAATAAATAAATAATAATATTAGAGGGATTTTTAAGATCACGTGACTCTGAAGACTGGAGTAATTAAGCTGAAAATGCATCATTAATATCACTGGAATAAATGATTAAATGAAATTATAAGCTACTTTTGAACAGTTATTTTATTATTATTATTTTACAATTTTTAATTGTATTTTTGATTAAATAAAAGCGGCTTTGGTGAGCAGGAGATATTGCCGTTGTGGAGAAAGCCAGCCATTTATTCCATTTCTTTTTAAAAATCTCTATTTATAATCCAAGTGCCTGTGTCATTTTTTATACTATTCCAACTTCTGCTATTATTTTAAACCATTCATCTTTATTTGGTGAGTCTTCTTTTTACCATTTCCGTGTTATAGTTTTTCTTTTTTCAAATAAGTTTTATTTGGTCAATAAATAGACTTGCAATAATCACAAATTTTAAGGTTTAATTTTCTTATATACATAACCTTACAAAAACAAACAAACAAAAACAAACACCCCAACCTCAGCCTGTAAGTATACAATACAGTGATGATCTTAACAACTTTTTAGTTATAATACATTGCTTTGGGAAAAGAATTCCCCATGAAGTGACTGTACAAAAAGACCCCGAATCTTCTGAAATTGTCCAATGTTGCCTTTTAAAAGACATCTGTTTCTGCAGAGTAGATATCAATTCTTCAAGCCATAGTTTAGCAGTTGGAGGATAAACATTTTCCAGTACAATTATAGCAGCTTTTTGTCTGTTATCAAATAATATGTAAGGAATTTCTGTTGTGCACTGCTCAATGAGTATAATCAGATTGTTCTAATATAATAAGCACTGTTATAATACCTTTTTTATTATAATATCTTTAATAACTTTTAATACCTTTTTTCAAACAATTTTACTTTGTAGAAACAACAAGACAGCAAGATTTTCAACTGTACAAGACACTTTTTTCCAGAAAAGATTATATTATGGCCTGAAAGTTATTATGATTCATGACAAGCTAAATACACTGGAAAAGGCTGAAAAAATATCGACCTATACTAAATTTACCTGCAATTATTAAATAGTCCATGTGTGTGTTTGTATTCGTTTGATAGGTGGGCATTATTGATGATGACGTGTTTGAGGAAGATGAACACTTCTTTGTGCGTCTTTCGAATCTGCGAGAGGGAGAGGGTGGGACCAACACTGACGGTGCCCGGCTGGTTGAACCTTTAGTTACTACGGTAACCATTCTGGACGATGACCATGCTGGAGTTTTTGCCTTTGGTCAGCGGGAGCTTTGTGTGGGTGAATGTTCGGGTGTGGTGGAGGTGCCGGTGAACCGAACGTCAGGTGTGCGCGGGACTGTGATGATTCCCTATCACACAGAGGACGGCTCTGCGCGACAGGGGGTTGACTATGAGCAAATACAAGGAGAGCTGGAGTTCACCAATGAGCAGACAAGGTAAAACCACACACTAAAACATTTAATTCAATTGTTTATTTTTTAATCAAAACCTTTTGTTTTAACTTTACACACATGCTAGCAGATTCTTTTCACCCCAATCGGCAATATTCCCACACTGTTTGAATTAAGTTAAATTTAGGGAATTACATGAGTTGATGTGTTATATTGATGACAGAGCAATTTTAATATCTCATTATTGGTTGTAGCTTGTATTTAATATTAAATTATGTCAGACTATGGACCATTTTAATCTGTCATTTTATAAAAAAATATTTTCTATAGTTATCAATGATGTGTCAAACAATTCCTGATTCCTTAATAGATAGAAAAGTCAGAAGAACTACATTTATATTAAATATTTTTATTCTCAGAACTACTTTTTTACTATATTGAGATGTAATTTTGTAAAGCATTAATTTTAAAACCTCATAATTCATCACTGTCTGCTTACAAACAACCCATCACATTTTATAACAAGGTTTCATTAATGTATGCACTAAAGTGAGCTAAGAATGAACAAAACTTAAACAATATTTATTTTTCATTGTTGATATTAAATCCAGTGTTTACAGATGCATTATTAACATCCAAAAATTTAGCTTGGTAACATTATTTAATGCACTTTTGGCAAGGACTAAAAATCAATCATGTATTTGTATTTATTAATGTTAACTTAATGTTTTATTGATTAAAGATGAATAAATATTGTAATAAATGTATTGTGCATTGCATCTTCATGTTAGTAAATATATTAATTATTATAACCTCATTGTAAAAAGTCAAAAAATCTGTATATTTCTGGATTCTGCTACCTCTTGTTCTTGTTTGTACCACTAGATGTCTCTTTCTTCACAGTAGTCACCAAATTCTGAAAAGTCAAGTTTGTTCAGCATATCTTTTTTGAGCCTCAATCTGTTACTCAGTCTGTCGGTCAGTTCAAAGTTACTGTCATTCTGAGCAAGCTAAAGCTCCACTGTGACACCAGGTAAATCTACCTGATATTATACCTGATATTATATGATTCAATTAAAATTATATTAAATAATTTATATAGTTATAATAATTCAGGGGGTTTAATAATTCTGACTTCAGCTATATATATATATATATATATATATATATATATATATATATATACACACACACACACACACACACACACACATACATACATACATATATATATATATATATATATATATATATATATAAATAAAAACAGGGGAGCTAATAATTCATATTTATTAATATTTATTAATTCATGAATTATTAGCTCCCTGTTGATTTTTTTTCTAATTTCTGTTTAACGGAAAGATCATTTTTTCAACACATTTCTAAAGAATAGTTTGTTGGTTTGTTCTGTGGACAATCGATGAAAATTATAGCTTAAAGGGGCTAATAATTTTTATTTTAAAATGGTTTTTAAAAAATTTAAATTAAATTAAAAATAAATTCTAGCCAAAATAAAACAAAGACTTTCAAATAAATTAAATTAGAAATGAAATAAAAGACTTTCGAGAAGAAAAAATATTATCAGACATACTGTGAAAATTTTTTTCCTCTGTTAAACCTCAATAACTCTGATTTCAACTGTGTGTATGCATATAAGCAAGTATGCTTTAGAAAATTAACTTAATATTATACTTAAAGCTAATCTAATAAGTGTAGTTAAAGTTTAACTATGTTTTTAACATATTTTTTACACAAGATGCATACTAATATCAAAGAAATATTTCGGTGCATTGCCCAAGTAAGGGCATATAGTGTAGTTGTTGTTGAGTCTTTGTTGTAGCATGGATGCAATGTGTCCAGTTGATATGCAGCAAAATATGTGTTACTACAGGTGGTCTGTATAGCTCACTCACCACTGTGTTTCAAATTTACCAGTTTAAATAAATAAATAAGTATAAAACAAAATGTGAGATGTTCCTGGTTGCAGTAGGTATTGTGAATGAGTTTTTAGAGGCGATAGGAATTGATAGCTCTCACAACCTGGCAGAAAATGCAGATTTTTTTTTTGAGTACCTTCTATAAGAAAGTACACTTTGAAGTATACTCAGAAAAGTTCTAGTTTTTAAAGTTTTTATACTGCAAGTATACTACCTGAAGACCTGTTCATATACATGTGTAAAACTATTTAAAAAAAAACTACAGTTAGTAGAAAAGTGTACTCAGAATGCTTAACTGTAATTATTTAAAGGAACAGTTTACCTCCAAAAAATGGTCTTTCGTCTGTTGAACACAAAGCGAGATATTTTGAAGAATGTTGTTGAAAAGCAGCTGTTAACATCAATAGCAGCAACAAAAAATTTTATGGATGTCAATGGCTGCATTTCCCCAACATTCTTCAAAATATCTTCCTTTCAGAAAAAGAAATAAACTCAAATAGGATGGAGCGAGAAAAGGTCAAATTTATTTTGTATTTTTCTGTCTATATAAGTGCCATATATTTAAATGTAATATTAAGCAAATTTCAGAAAAGTACACAAAAACTAGCCTGAACGTACATATTTTCTTATTTTAAGTTGAAAAGAGGCATAGTAATAGCACAAGATTATTTTTTTCTTAAGGTATCTGTATATTCTCATAGAAATCTGTGCTGTCTAGCGTGAAGAGAAGCTTCAGAGAGCACATAACTGTCATTCCTACACTCACGCATTGGTAAATCTGCCTTTGTTGTTAAAACTAACTAGATAAATCTTAAATCTTCAATGCAGCACTGGTTTGTGAAAAGGAGAGCTTGTACACAACTGAACGCCCGTCTCAGTTCTTCAGTGTGAGATTGAATTATTTATAGACTGTGTGTTAAAGTATTCATGTAGGCCTAACTCTGATGTGATTTAAATGCTGAGGTCTGCTTTAATATTTCAGAGGTAAAGCCAAGAGGAAATGATGATTTGTCCTTTGCTCTTTGTGTCCCCAGTAAGACACTTCAGGTGCGCATCATTAACATGCAGGAATATGAGAAGCGAGAGAATTTCTACATTGTCCTTGAAGAGCCCAAATGGCTCAAGAGAGGCATCTCAGGTGTGTGTGCACCTATTCCTATTAATCATCACTGTTACAGTTTTTTTTTCTTTGTAAAAGTGGCTTCTATGATTGCTGTCTATATTTTAATGCGTTATAGTTACTGAGATCCCACTAGCCTCGTGCTCACCTCTCTGATACACACATGGACATTTCTATGACCAGTGTCCAATTTCAGATCAATAACAGAAGCACATCAGGGGGACAAATTAGACATGCGTCACTCACAGTAACAAGATCCAACTCACGCACACACACTTCAGCCTCACGTTTGTGGGTGTGTGTAATTTGAGCTGATGTGCGTAAATAAAAGTGAATGTTAAAGAGAGAATTAACACAAGGTTCATTAGTGAGCTAATTAGCTACTTTCATTAACCATTGACTAAGCATAGATGAATAGATGGATATGAACTTTCTTTACATTAAAATACAAGTATGCCATCATCAAAACTAATTGAGAACATTTTAAAGCAATGTTTGTAAAAACTCTTTTTGAATCGAGCAATGTCACTTTATATGATAAACTGATTTAATTGTGCCATTTATTCACATTTAAATACTAAAAAATGCAATTATTTTGGAAATATACTGTATTTTTATCAAAATAAATGTAGCCATGATTGGCGTAAGAAGATTGATTGATTGATTGATTGATTGATTGATTGATTGATTGATTGATTGATTGATTGATTTTTCACTGACATGCTGCAAGTAGATCTGCTGTTAAACCAGGGTAAGCTACAAACTATTTTTGCATATTTGTGTGTGTGGACTAATATATATAAACCGGCCACATTATTAGGTACACCTTACTAGTACCGGGTTTTACACACTTTTGCTTTCAGAAGTGCCTTAATCTTTCAGGGCATAGATTCAGCAAGGTACAGGAAATATTGCTCAGAGATTTTGGTCCATATTGACATGATAGCAGCAGATTTGTCTGCTGCACATCCATGTTGTAAATCTCCTGTTTCACCACATCCCAAAGGTGCTCTTTTGGATTGTGAACTGGTGACTGTGGAGGCCATTTGAGTACTGTGAACTCATTGCCATGTTTTAGAAACAAATCTGAGATGATTTGTGACGTTATCCTGCTTGAAGTAGCCATCAACAAATGGGTACACTGTAGTCATAAAGGGATGGACATGGTCAGCAACAATTCTCAGGTAGGCTGTGGCATTGGCATTAAAGGGCCCAAAGTGTGCCAAGAAAATGACCCCCACGCCATTACACCACCACCAGCAGCCTGGACCGTTGATACAAAGCAGGATAGATCTATGCTTTAATGCTGTTGACACCAAATTCTCACCCTATCATCTGAATGCTGCCGCAAAAATAGAGGCTCATCAGAGGCAACCTTTTTTTAATCTTCTATTGTCCAATTTTAGTGAGCATGTGTGAATTGTAGCCTCAGTTTTCTGTTCTTAGCTGAGAGGAGTGGCACCCGGTGTTCTGCTGCTGTAGCTCATCTGCCTCAAGGTTCGATATGTTGTACATTCAGAAATGCTCTTCTGCATACCTTGGTTGTATCGAGTGGTTATTTCAGTTACTGTTGCCTTTCTATCAGCTGGAACCAGTCTGGCCATTGTCCTCTGATCTCTGGCATCAACAAGCCATTTATGCCCACAGATCTGCCGCTCACAGGATATTTTCTCTTTTTTGGACCATTGTCTATAAATCCAAGAGGTGGTTGTGTTTGAAAATCCCAGTGGACCAGCATTTTCTGAAATAGTCAGACCAGCCCATCTGGCACCAACAACCATGTCACGTTCAAAGTCTCTAAATCTACCTTTCTTCCCCATTCTGATGCTCAATTTGAACTGCAGCAGATGATCTTGACCATGTCTACATGCCAAAATGCATTGAGTTACTGCCATTGCTGATTAGAAATGTGCATTACGAGCAGTTGGACAGGTGTACCTAATAAAGTGGCAGGTGAGTATATATATATATATATATATATATATATATATATACTCATGTAACATTTTTTGTGGTCCAAGGTCACAGATTTATTTATCTCTTTTCACATAAGGATGTGTTACATGCCACATCTGAACATTTAGCATTTATCCTTTATTTATCTTTTCTCTCAATCTCACCAGCCACCCCTGGTCCAGAAGTGGAGGAGGCCAGACGTATAGCCGAGAAGGGGAAGCCTGCTCTAGGAGAACACTGCAAGCTAGAGGTCATTATAGAGGAGAGTATGGCCTTCAAGGTATCCACACATCCTACATACAACAAAACATTAATTTCATGTAGTCTGTAATAGACCCTGTATTCACTGTGATTCCTCTTCATAAAGGTCCGACAGGGAATGACCCCTAATGGAGTCTTAGATGCGGTAGTAATCCACTTGCCTCAGTGTGAAGTGTGTTGGGTTTGCCCTATAAACTTCAGCCTTTAAACACTCTCTGACTGATTGAATCACACCTAAATGCATGGAGATTGTCATGTAATTAAACCTTATTTTCCCATTCACAACTGTTTTAATCTGTGTTCACTAACATCACTAACTGACTTCATTGACTTCTATTGTATTTTTTTTCCTACTATGGAAGTTGATGGGTCCCAACATTCTTTAAAATACTTATCTGTGTTCAACAGAAGAAAGAAACTAAAATAGGTTTCAAACCACATGAGGAACCACTTTTTCATTTTTGAATCACAATCAAAGTTTGTCCTTTTGTGCAACACCTCAAGGTTTACGTTTGTGCTTATAATCCCCACAACTTCCATAAAGTGCCCTGCATCAGAAGTTGTGGTAGTCACTCACAGATTTATTTTGACACTGACACATTTAAATTTAGAAATAACTGCACACAGATTAAAACTACAGCTTTAAACACAAACTTCTTATAACTTTTTTTTCACAATGAAACAAAATGTAGATTTGGCCAAACAAAAACAAGCTAGAATTCATTAACAATACTGGCCATACTACAAACAAAAATGAACCCTTGTGTGCTGTTGGGAATGTTTTCATCCACTCTGGGGTGATTTTGAGTCTTAATTTGGCTACAACTTTCTCTGTGTTTCAGCAAACTCCTTTGAAATTGTTTCAACTCAACAATATACTATTTTACAAAATTTAGACAAATTTACTACCCTTTCATTATGTTAGTGGCTGTTTTGCCCTATTGACTTCCATTATAATGACCTTATTGCAAAGCCATGAGACCACATAATGTACAGTTGAAGTCAGAATTGTTACCCCCCCCCTGAATTACTAGACCCTCTGTTTATTTTTTTCCCCAATTTCTGTTTAACAGAGAGAAGATTTTTCAACACGTGTCTAAACATAATAGTTTTAATAACTCATTTCTTATAACTCATTTATTTTATCTTTGCCATGATGACAGTAAATAATATTTGACTAGATCTTTTTAAGACACTTCTATACAGCTTAAAGGTAAATTTAAAGGCTTAACTAGGTCAATTAGGTTAACTAGGCAGGTTAGGGTAATTAGGCAAGTTATTGTATAACGATAGTTTGTTTTGGAGACAGTCGGGAAAAAAATTAGCTTAAGAGGCTAATAATATTGACCTTAAAATTGTGTTTAAAAAATATAAAACTGCTTTTATTCTAGTCAAAATAAAGCAAATAAGACTTTCTCCAGAAGAAAAAATATTATCAGACATACTGTGAACATGTCCTTGCTCCGTTAAACATCAACTGGGAAATATTTAGAAAAAAAATTCAAAGGGGGGCTAATAGTTCTGACTTCAACTGTATATTAATTGTTGGAGGTTTTCCCTGCTGGGAAGAAGTACAGTTTGTAATTTGTGCTGTTGATCATCAGTTGCAGGTCAAAAAATGCTTAGCTTCTGGCTTATATGTGAGTTATATATTGAAGTTTATAGACTATAATGTGTGAAGTATAGTGTGTGGTGTCAAAGAAAATTAAAATAAGCACCTTAGCTTTCAGAACATTGTGAACATAGTAAGTGTATTTATACATGTACAATTAATTTGTTGTTATACTCCATACAACTGCATATAAAGTATGATAAAAGTTTACCACATCCCAAAAGGTTAAACCATCAACAATCAAGAATGCATGATTATTGTCCCCAAATTGCATTATTCTGGTCCGAGGTTCGAGACCTACTATCAGGTCTGATGGAATCTCAGATCCAATGCGACCCATTGCTTTTTCTCATGCTGGACGATCCATCACTTTCCTTATCCAACAACCAAAGAAGGATTCTGTCAGTTGTTCTGACTGCTGCAGCTGCAAAAAAAAAAAAAAAATCCTGAAAATATGGCAAGTTCCATCTGCTCCTGCTGATCTATCCTGGAGGCTATATCTACTGGACATTATTAGTTTGGAATACACCACAGCCGAAAAAAAAAATGGTGCCAGTAAGAAAACTGTACAATTTTGGTTAAATATGAGACTGTATCAGATATGTTTAAATCCTGATTTACTACCTATTATTGCAGTATTATATTATATTTTACTTTTTTGTTGGGTGGATCTCAGACTTTGTTCAAAATCAAAATGTTCAATAAAAAAAAAGAATGCATGATTATTTGGTGTCAATGCTTTACAATACAAAAAGTCATTTTAATGGAAGCCAATAGAGCAAAAACCACCACAAACATAACATAACAAGAGTAGTCAATTTAAACAATACACAAGGGTTAAAAGATTACTTCTATTAAGAAATTGATCCAGATTGATTGATGAGTGTTAAATGGAAACATTTGTCAATCACTGAGCCCCACTATATTGTGCATGCATGTTTAGAATACTGTAGACCGTCTACTGAAGGATACTAACCTTGCTGAAGTACTTGGCACACACTCCTGGAGAGAACAGTTCATCGAGGCGGTAACAGTCAGCGCAGGTAGAATCAAATCAGTATAGACTCTCAATATCTGTATATGTATATTTATGTGAAATGAATTAAGCTGCATTTGTGTCCATATGATTCTTGATCATGATGATGTGTCATTTCTGCCTCTCAGGGGAAGCTGATGAAGAAGGAGGTGAACCTCAGCCGCCGTCATGCTGTGATTATTTCATGCATGCAGTCACGGTGTTCTGGAAGATTCTGTTTGCCTTCGTTCCACCCACTGAATACTGGAACGGCTGGGCCTGCTTTATTGTATCCATTCTGGTCATCGGGCTGCTAACTGCTGTCATTGGAGACTTGGCATCCCATTTTGGCTGCACTGTAGGCCTCCGGGACACTGTCACTGCTGTGGTGTTTGTTGCTTTGGGAACCTCCATACCAGGTAAATATATGGTAGTATGTATGTAAATAAATAAATAAATGTACTGACTAACCATCTGTTATCTTCCCTTTATTCTTCTAGACACATTCGCAAGTAAAGTCGCTGCTACACAGGATCAATATGCTGATGCTTCAGTAGGAAATGTGACCGGTAGCAATGCGGTGAATGTTTTTCTCGGGATTGGTGTGGCCTGGTCAGTTTCTGCTGTTTACTGGGAAGTCAAAGGTCAGGTGTTTTATGTAGACCCCGGTTCGCTTGCATTCTCAGTCACACTCTTCACCATCTTTGCCTTCATTAATATCGGCGTGCTGATGCTTCGGCGGCGGCCATCGGTAGGTGGAGAGCTGGGTGGACCTAAAGTGATGAAGGTCCTGACTTCAATGTTGTACGTCGGTTTGTGGCTCCTCTATATCACGTTCTCCAGCTTAGAGGCCTACTGTCATATTACTGGATTCTGAGGACCAAAGAGACACACACACAAACAGACTCGCACTTACACTAATGGCATTCAGATGAAATTAGTTTTGTGAGAACTGAGCTGTGTGATGTAAGATGTACGTAGGGTAGATACTTTCTGTGTAACCAAAAGTACCTAAAATGTGTGAGAGAGAGAGAGCAAGACTGACTGAACTGCTGTCGGGGATGTATATAACTGGTGTTTGGCTTTGATTTCAGAGCACATTAGAGGCAGTGTGATTTTTGACACCATCAGACTGTCAGTGACATGAATGAAATACTGTAAGATGTAGCACTTTTTTTGACAGAGCTGTGGTGTCATTTTATATACTGACTGATGACCAGTAATTGATGTGTCTGAATGCTAGGCCTCCCTCTGAGAGAGAAGGCACTTATTACTCTCCATATAAAGGAACGGATGAACTCTGTTATGAGTGAAACTGAACTTCTTTTTGGATGTCAGGTATTGTGGGACTTACCTTGAAATGTTTATGAACGAAACTGGGATAACCATTATCATAATTCACATTCATTTATTTTCTTGATTAAGGAGTCTGTGTCATGTCACTTCATGAATTAACTCAAATGTATAATTTCAGCATTTAAATGCAAGTAAAATCATTAATAAATGTAAGTGTTGGTTTTTATTGTGCTCTAGGCATTACAACAGAAATATGCAGCTTATCTCAGAACACTCTTGGAGTATTTCTTGAATCATCTTATTTTTGGTACAGAATAAAAATGAACCATGGATTATTTTAGTAAAAATGCTGTAACCATCATTATATTTATTAATTTATTCAGTGTAGCAGTTCTCCAAGCACAGTTTCTTGTCATTAATTACAGTTGTAAGAACAACAAATAATAACTTGACTTCTAATTGATCAATTGGAGAAGTGGCAGAAGGTTGATCTTCTCCAACGAATCATCTGTTGAACTGCATCTCAATCATCACAAATACTGCAGAACACCTATTGGAACACGCATGAACCCAAGATTCTCACAGAAATCAATCAAGGTTGGTGAAGGAAAATTCCTGGTTTGGGGTTACATGGACAATTTCTCCAGCAGGATAGCGCTCCTTTTCATACTTCAGCCTCCACATCAAAATTCCTGAAACTAAAAAAGGTCAAGGTGCTCCAGGATTGGCCAGCCCAGTCACCAGTTATGAATATTAATGAGCACGTCTGGGGTAAGATGAAGGAGGAGGCATTGAAGATAAATGCAAAGACTGTTAATGGACTCCTGCAAGATTGCTTTCTTTGTCATTCCAGATGATTTCCTTAAGTTATTTGGGTCATTGCAGAGATGTAAGGATGCAGTCTTCCAAGCTCATGGGAGTCAGACACAATATTCATTCTTTTTTCACTGCAGCATGACTTTATATTCTATACTGTACATTATTTCTAAGTGACAAGACTTTTGTCTAAACAAAGTCAGACCTTATTGTCCCAATTAAATAATTAACAATCATGGTATGATCATATTTTATTGTGGTAAAATAAGCGTAATCTAGAGGCCTTTCCCTTTCATTTGAGCCACTTCTGATACCAAACGAGCAGCTAAGTCAAATTATTGTTTGCTGTTCCTTAAACTTGGATAGGTGGCAAGATTTTGTCAGGTAGTGTATATGCTATTTAGTGTAGCAAAACCATATATAATTATTGGTTACCAGGATTTAGATGATTGTTATTATATATATATATATATATATATATATATATATATATATATATATATATATATATATTTTTTTTTTTTGTAAAAAAACATTATTCATTTCATTTGTTTAAGGTCGTATGTATGACTGTTAGCTAAAATATACTGAAGATAGTTGGTGTTTGTGAGGTAAATGTTTAGATGACAATTTATTATTCTTGCTGGATTTGTTAGTAAATTATTTGTCAGTATATCGATGATTCAGTGTTATAAACTAATTGGTCAATTCAGTGGTTCAGTGGTAATCTTCAGTGGTTTTGGGAAGTAACAAAAATAATACACAGAAAGTAAACAAGTTTCACATACCTGCCAATTTTAAGATATTGGCCATTTTGGCTTTTTATATACAGTAGTCAATATTTTAAGAGGATCAAAACCTTTCATTATAGTTGTCTTAAAACTATCGAACAACACCCATTCTTGTCTTTGGACAATTTTTAAAAACTTTTCAATCCACTTAAAGTGTTGACCACTGGAAATTTCTTGTGTAAATTATTTTTTTTTCCTACTGTTAGTTTCCATTGTCATGGATGGAAAACATCCAAAATACACATAGATATTTCTTTTGTTACACTATATAGGCCTGTCTATGTGTAGTTACAATACATCTTTTAATGGCAATTTTTTTTTTCTCGAAAACAAAACAAAATGAGCCAAAAATCTCCACTTCAGCGAGTTTTACTCATGTTCATATCCTTAAGGTTAAGTTCTTACATTATTTGCTGATTATACATTTTATTTTACAAAAAAAGTGAAAAAATGCAAGCATATGATTTATGAAGAAGTTGTGATGAAAAGAGATTCCCAAATTCCCTTCTGTAAAATACTTGGTCTCTAATATATCAAAATAAAATATAATTAGATAATACCTATTTAGCATATTACATAACAGAGAACATTTAGAAACTATTTCCGTTTTTGCAGTTCACTGATTAAATCGGGTATGGACATGTAGTGTCTACAGAGAAGGATTCGCTAGCATTAACTAAACAAACCGAATCAATCTTTTTCGTGAACAATTCGAGTTCTGGGATGAATGAAAATCCCCGCCGCTAGAAACCAGAACAAACGCGCCTTTAGTTTGAGTGACATCTCTGAGAGCCAATCACATTCATGCATTAAAGGCACCGCCTTTTCCTGGAAGTGAGACAAGTGGACAAGGCCACGCTCGATCAGCAGCTGACGGGTGACGCTTCCGGGACAAGAACGCAAGTAGCATGAGATAAGAGAATCGGTGAGAGCTGTGTTTGAGTTTAATGCGTGCGCTTGTATTCATTTTGATGTATTAGCTATTATCATAGTTGTATGTGCTTGTATACACTAGCCGTTTCCTCCTTTCAGCCAAGGTTTGGTTGAAGCGCCTTTAATCAACCGGAAGAAGAAGACGTTCACGCGCCCTCACACGGAACCGAGGACGTCGAGTCACACAGTAAGTCCGCGTGCAGCATACCGTGTTGTTTATCTGGTGCTATTTCACAGGATTTTTACATTTGCATAGGTTTATAAACCGTGTACGAGAGTTCGGGGTTTACACGGTTGTGTCTGCCGGTGCGTCCTAAGCTTCGGTAGGTGTATCGTTTGATTCAAAAGCGAGACAAACAAAGAGCGGCCTGCGATTCTGGCGCAATTACTAATGGCGTTAATGTTGGTTATTAACTAACAATTAAACCACTTGGTAAGATGTAATCTATATCGTGCTTATGAAGCCTTTATGTCGGGGGCCGCTGTACATTTCTAAATATCCGTTTTGTTGATAAACACGATCGAGTCATTCATCATGGCCGCAGATCGGCAGTTGAAGAGACTCCTTCATATAGAGGAAAGCGAAACTAACCTAATACTCGAAGAAATGAATACGTTTGTGCTGTCTGTTAACAGTGATTTAACACGTCTGAAGCTTTAACAGATTTGGGTTACATGTGAACAGCTGACCGCGAGGTGAGATGTTTTTAGCACAGGCAGAGCTGGAGCTGCACTGCGTGCGTTACTACAGTAACGTGCTAACATGCGCACTGAATGTTTAATGCTGTGCCATGCAGTCCCAAGAACCAGCATCTTTACCCTTAAATTGTTTTAAGATTGTTTTGTTGATTTAACCATGTACATATTCGTAGAACCACTGCTTAAGTGCCTTCAGGTTGTTAGTTAAAAAAAATCACTTAAAAATGGTCACCACCTTACACAGTGCAGTACCTTTCTTTTTGTGGAACGCGAAGAAAGTTAAAAATATTGGTAACCAAATGCTTTTAATTTTAAGATTATTGTAATTTTGGTGAACTGTACCTTTATCTCATTGTTAAGCATGTTTAAAGTATTTAAAAACTTAGGGTTTTTAATTGAATAAATTGCCACAATTAACTTTTTTGTACTACAGGTGCAAGATGTCATACTCATCCCGGAGTTCCTCTCGCACCTCTGACTGTAAGGTCTATGTGGGTGACCTTGGTAATGGTGCAGCCAAAGGTGAGCTGGAACGAGCCTTCAGTTACTACGGGCCATTAAGGAGTGTATGGGTCGCCCGGAACCCTCCAGGTTTCGCCTTCGTAGAGTATGAGGATGCCAGAGATGCAGAGGATGCCGTAAAGGGGATGGATGGAAAGTGAGTCAACTTGAGTTCTACCTGCCTACATTTGATGATGCTACTGCTGCACATTTAACACCCTGACCACTTCAGGGAGCTCAGACCCGCAGGGGTGAGTGACGGCGGTTTATCAGTTTTCTTTCCGCTCACAAAGGCCCCAACTTATGTGGTATATTTTTCTGGATGCACAATAATTGTTGTCCTGTTTCAGTTCAGTTGTTTGTCTTATTTTTTCCTGAGCTTTACCTGAATCTAGGCAATGTGTGAAGGGTCTGAAAATAAAAATGGTCTGCGATTTTCCTAGACAGCATTTGTCATGTGTATGTGTGGCACCTTGGATTGGCCACTAACCTTCTGATCTGTGATATCCCAGGGTGCTTTGTGGAGCCCGTGTCAGAGTTGAGCTGTCTAATGGTATGTCCAGAAAGTCCCGTTATGGCCGTCCCAGCCGCAGGCAATTTGACCCCAATGACCGCTGTTACCAGTGTGGGGAGACAGGTCATTATGCCTACGACTGCTATCGTTTCAGCAAGAGGCGAAGCAGACGCAGCAGGTATGTGAATCAAGATTTTGATTTATTTTTATTTTGACTCCTTTGTATTGCTACTAATTATAATATATATTTTTAGGTCAGGATCTCGTTCCCGGTCCAGATCTCGTGGTCGCCGCTACCGCTCTCGTAGTCGTAGCAATGAAAGGCAAGTCTTGTTACCGCTTGGCTGTGTTTCAAATGCTTTGCAGTTATGAATTTTATGTAATCTTATTTTTTTCAGGAGGTACCGTTCACCTTCATACTCGAAACGCAGAAGCAGGTAAGCCCTCAGTCAGTGCCTGTTTCTGCCAGGGTCCGAACAAAATGAGCAAAGATTTCCCATCGTATTCAAGATAAGAAGGCTAAAATGCCCATACAGGCTTGAACAAGATCACAGCTTTTTTATTTTTCATTATTAACAAACGTGAAAGACTTCAGTTTTTCTGAAATATTTATTTATTTTTCTCCAAAGAATTGGTTACGTTTTGGAAGTTGTGAAATGTCACCAGAAATCAGAAAGCAAATACTTAAACTTGAGTTGATTTCTGACTCCTGATTTCTACTCCTCTTGCTTTATTGATTTGCTATAACACTGTTGTACAAGCCTGTTCTTTCTAAATGTCTTTTTTTTTTTTTCTTTATTTTTCTGTTGCAGGTCAGGATCCCCAGGCCGCTCCAGATCCAGAAGCCCTGGTGGCCGGTCACGTTCACCTGTACGCCGGTCAAAGAGCCCTGTTCGAAGGTCCAGATCCAGGACACCTCTTCATAGAGACAGGTACTGCACGCATGTTTAACCCAGGCAAAATCGCTGTATTTATTTTTCCTGGATAAAATGAGAAGTTCTACTGTGGTGAATGGCATATCAATTAGAATCTTTATTTATTTTTTTTATATTTTCCCCCCTTTCTAGTCGTTCTCGCTCCCGTTCACGGTCTGGTTCCAGGCAGAGGGATCGCAGTGTCTCCAGATCTCGCTCTCGATCTCGTTCGATCAGTCACAAGAAAGACAGGTAAACCGATTTACACAATAGCACATTTCAGTTAGGTCATTCTTGGTGGAAAATGTATAGATGCTAACAGTTTGTGTGTCTTAGTCATTCCAGGTCTGCCAGCCCAAGGAGAAGTCCAACACCGGATGCTGACTGATCTGAATACTGATGCTTCACCCCCATTCCCCACCTTTGCCTCAGGGCTGAAATACATTTTATCTTCCCCATGAGTTCAATACTGGTTCTATTGTAGCTGCAAAGCTTTTTTTTTTTTTTCTCGTTCTTCTCCCTTCCCAGAATTCAGTGACACCTCCTCCCACCTTGTAAAAACATCACTGTCATCTCAAGCAGCTCATGCATATTTTCCCTTTTATCCCCCCTTCCCTTTGAATTATTTTTTAAGAGCTCAATTATTTTAATTTTCAGTGTTGAGCCAGTGTCCTGTGGTCAGTGATTTGTGGGTAAGGTGGTGAATGAGCTATGTTGTGATTTAGTCAGTGTATTATATGAACTGAGTACGCTGTGATTTGTTTGTTTGTAGAAGGTTTTTTTTTTGGCATTGAAAATGGCAATGATCTTTTTAATAAAGCTTTACAAATCCAACTTTTTCAGTGGTTTTTTTTTTTTTTTTTTTTTTTTTGGTGACCTGAAGTGTACTGGTTTAAATATCTGCATTTAAAATACAAAACAATAGGTTGAATCTGTTAAATTTTTGACTTCTTAAAATAATTGTAATGGTATTGCTATTATACAATAAAACTGAATCACATCATGGTGTAAGATGGGTTTACAAACTTGGTTCTGGAGAGTTTAGCTCCAACCTTAAACAAACTCTGACTAAATTCTTGAACGGGGTATTCAAACTCGATCCTGGAGGACCAGTGCCCTGCTGGATTTAGCTTAAACTTGCTTCAACACGCTTGACAGGAAGTTTCTAGTTCACTAGTAAGAGCTTGATTAACTGGTTTAGATGTGTTTGATGTGGATTGACGCTAAACTCTATCAAGGACCGAGTTTGGACACCCCTGTACTAGAAACTTCATGGCTCTTATGTTGAATCTATTTTCAGCAGGACACCAACCCTCCAGGACTAAGTTTGAACACCCAGGGTGTAAGAAGCTGATTTGGATCAGGTGTGTTAAATAAGCAAAAACAGCATATCCACGACAGAGGGCCTCAGGAGTCAACGTTTCCAATGGTTTGTGAGGCAGAGTGATACCCTTTTCTCTGCTTTAAGTTTTATAAACTAAATTGTGTACTTAAAAATGTGTCCTTTGTAAACCACAGTGTCTCAAAACCACGTTTTTCTTACAAAGTGCTTTTGCTGGGGACGTGTAGAACTCAGGAAGCCTACTTCCCCTTATTTACCAGTACGGTGCATAGCCTATGACAAAAATGACGTATGTGTGTATGAATAGGCTGTTAACCAGATAAATACTATATCGTCATAAATTCCATATATCATCGTCCTAAATGGCATTTTGGTATATCAAACATACACGCCACCACCTCGAAGAAAATGCGCACTACGCAGACGGTGTCATCCCATTTTTTCTCGCGTTACCTCCCCCTCCCCCCTGCGGCTTGCCGTAGCACCAGCGGTGTGTTCCATTTTAGATCACTTCATTTGAGACAACATGGCTGCTGCTGCAGGCCATTATTACGGCGACGGAGGCAGAGCAACAAAAAGACAAAAAACAGATAGCGACGGAATGGACACGGTACTTTGATTTCTTTCACTTTATTGTATATGTCATGCATGTGGCGTTAAAAATTCGTTTTATTTCCGAAAAGCGTTTTTTTCTTCATTCAGCACGCGATGCTACTTGCTAACTTAGGCTTGAAGCTAACTCTCCAGTTTGTTCAGTATTGTGACATAATTAACTTGCATGGGTTTTGGCGAATAAAAGAAGTATAGGCCATAATGTGAAATGTATAATTCATTCATCTAACGTTAGTTAGCTACTTTTAAATGTTACCTATAACAAATATCGACCAGGAGTGCTGTACTCAATGCTCATTCATTGTTCTTCTCGGTCCGCTCCGTCTTTGCTGTAACGTTAAACCGTTCATCCTGTCTTGTAACAGACGTGCATTGTATTAAATCAACGAAAAACGTCGTGTAGTTTTTGAAAACCCAAAGGCAAGTGTTTTGTTTTTCATTTTTTACTGTTGGTTTCGGTATAAATTATGCTAATTGGATACATTTTACTAGTTTGTATCTTCAGTACCGTCTGCTTTATTGAACTAAACTGTTAACATTGTGAGATGAATGGTTGAATTGATTATGTGACTGTATTAGGCATACACAAGCAGGCCAGCTTTATACTATTGTTTGATTGAATCTTTCTCTCTTCCCATTGTGTGTGCAGGAGGGTTATAATGACCCGCACAAGACCTTGCCCTCTCTTGTAGTGCATGTGAGGGGGCTCATTGACGGCATTACCGAGGCTGACCTGGTTGAGGCGCTGCAGGAGTTTGGCACCATCAGGTGAAGAGCCCCAGCTGCACTCGTTTAATTTTAATTTAGGGGGAAAGAAAATAATGTGCACCTTTTGTAAAGCTGGTTTGTAACAATAATTATTGCGAAAAGTGTTAGAAGTAAACTTGGAAAAGAATTTGAATACGTGTATTTGGGATACATTTATTTTAGAGATAAGTATGTAAATCAGTAACTAGTCTTAAAGGACTCCCACTATGACACAAACTTTTATATTTTCAAAGTTTAATCCATATATTTTAATATATATTGACACCAAAATCCAGTAGAATAAATTATTAATGGTTCTCAAAGTATTGTAGTACAGTATAAATTGCTATTATAGCCTTCTCTACATTATAGGTCTCAAATTCAATTACTGCAGGGCCACTGCTCTGCAGTTTTGTTCTAACCCTGATCAAACACAGCTGGTTCGACCAATGAAGGTGTTCATGACTCATAACACCTTGATTATCTGGATGATCTGTGTTCGATTAGAGTTGGAGCAAAACTGTGCTGAGCTGCGGCCCTCCAGGAATTGAATTTGGGACCTACGCTCTACATTGGAAACTACATGCAGACAACAACAAAAAAAATCTAAATTTTTTATTTTTCTAAAAAAAATTTCTAATAATTAGATTGGTGTGTTTTACAACAAGACAACCATTTATTGTTAAGTTATGTTTATGTATTGTGTTCTTACACTATTTAACAAAAAAAAAAGAGCATAAGTGTTGAGGTTAAATGTCCTACTTGCTATCTTTGCAAAGGTACTTGATTTATGACTTTTCGAAAAATTAACAGAAATTGAGTTGAGTAAAATTGATCAAATGTTTGTATTTCTGTAGAGTTTTCCATTAATTTGAGTTTGGAAGAGTGTTTCTGCAGAGGTCTAAAATTGTTATTTACTGTATGCATGTTTTGTTTTCAGTTACGTTGTGTTGATGCCAAAGAAACGTCAGGCTCTGGTGGAGTTTGAGGACATGAATGGTGCCAGTAATGCAGTGACCTACGCTAACAATAATCAGATCTACATTGCTGGCCGGCCATCCTACATCAACTACTCTACCAGTCAGAAAATCTCTCGGCCCACTGATTCCGATGACACACGAAGCGTCAACAATGTGCTTCTCCTCACCATCATGAACCCCATCTACCCCATTACCTCGGTAAGTTCTTTCATGCTCATTTATCAAGGAGTAGCTGAGTTTATTCTGCTACATTTCTGTATACTATTGCATTTGAATTCTTCCTTGTCCCTGTGCTTTGTTTATACTATATCATTTTCTGTTTATAGGATGTTTTGTACACCATTTGTAATAATTGTGGACCCGTGCAAAGAATCGTGATTTTCAGGAAGAATGGAGTTCAAGCCATGGTCGAATATCCTTTATCAAAGTGCTTTCAATTTGTTGTATGTAGTTGTGATTTTTGTTTTCTTTGCATTATGCTTTGTCTTTTCATCAAATCAAATGTAAACTCTGCCCATGTGTAGTTTCAACTGCATGCTCTTGTTTACAATAGAAATATTGTTCTCCTTGACTTTTGGTCACATTTGACTCAGTCCAGAGTGCGCAGAGGGCCAAAGCGTCTCTAAATGGAGCAGACATCTACTCTGGCTGCTGCACCCTAAAAATTGAGTATGCCAAGGTTGGTACCCCATAACATCACATGTATCAGATGGTTGTGTCTACGCAGTGCCCTTTGCAGTCATATCATGCAACTTAAATGTTCTGAACATTTTGTAGAAAATAAGCCAGTTAAATTGTTCAATGGTCTCAAACTCCTGGAGGGCCACAGCTCTGCCCAGTTTAGCTCCATACAACTCACTCCTGCTTAATTGTCTCTTGTAGTCTTCATTAGTTAGATCAGCTGTCTTTGATAAGGGTTGGAGCAAAACTACGCAGAGCTGCAGCCCTCCAGGAATCGAGTTTGAGACCCATGTTGGAAAGACTATATAAATATATAATGGGTCCCTTCGTAGCTTTTAATTTAAACAAAATGTTTATAGAGCCCTTACGAAACCATGTCTTATTTTTGTTTAGCCAACACGTCTCAATGTCTTCAAAAATGATCAGGATACTTGGGACTACACCAACCCCAATCTGAGCGGCCAAGGTATGTTACAGCTTATGCACTCTGTGCGCCGATTTTTGGGGGTATGGGTGTGTGGTCACGCCTTCTCACATGACGTCCTCGTGAAGTATGTTAAAAGTAAATATTTTCCCCAAGGACGTTACATCTGTGACGCTGCTTGTAATCTTTCTCTTTGGATTGTAATGCAAATATATTTACACTATTCATTTTGATTCTATTGTTTGGACACGCGTGAAGAGAACATGCACATTTAAAGTATCAACATGCATAAGTGGGTATTGTCATACTGACTATAAAAGTACACATGTCGAATTTTCATATTGGGCATATTTACACCCCCCCCAAAAACTATGGTAACTCAAAAATGAGCTCATTGAAATTACCTGTAGTCTTGGTTTACATCCAAATCAATCCATCAATGCGAGTAAACTGCATCTACGAGACTTGTTTAATAATAATTTAAATATTTATTAGTAGTTTTAGTGATGTCAACTTCATTTTAAAAATCTATATATTTTTTCTTTGCACTGTTTATGTCCCTTATTGTTATAAAAGAAAAATGTAGGTACACATTTGTCCACATCTATTATCAGCTTATTAAAGCTACCATATGCAACTTTTGTAACTCTGGTTAATGAAACATGGCTTCGTTTTATACTCAATGTTCATACAACATAAATGATGTTAAGAACATGCATGCAAGCACACTCATTGACAAACACTTGTTTATTGTGAATGTCACTTGTCTCGTGACCTGCACATATGTTTTTCAAGTATATGCACACCTTGAGAACCAGGCACTCTTTTCATCTGTATTCACGGAGCACGACACTGCATCTAGTATATTACATGATGGAGATTTTAGATAAGCTTTGGAATTGGGCAGAGGTGTTCAATCCTACTCCTGAAGGTCCGTTCTCTTCCAGAGTTGGGCTTTAACGTCGAGTAAAACCTTTGAAAACAGTAAGAAATCTAATTTGAGACTAAATGCTGCATTCAAGGAAGTTTAAAGGGAATATTAGAGCAG